AAGAATAAGTTATTAAAAGAAGCCCAGACTACGTAAGTGCCTGAGCAAAACAGAGTCAGGAGGGAAAGCAAGAGAAAGGTCTTTTTATTGCCATGAACTTATCAGACCAACTTTCATAATCTGTCATAATCTCATCAAACAGAGAATTTTCTTCCCTTTATTCATGGAATCTAATAATCTGAATAATCTAACWGATATAACAACCAATATCTCAGTGATGTCATTCACCCTAGTGTCAGTTGATACCACCCACATTTCCAGTTAATTGTCCTTTGTTTTGCCAGCCGAGAGCTTTCACCTGAAAAACAGACCTACCATTATTCCACTATCCTCACCATCCTACATAACYTAAAGTTGTCCAAGCTGAATATGTCTGAAACTRTGCTTCTCATCTTCCTCTAATCCARAGACAATTTGATTTACCCACAACATTCCCCATCAGCTAATGACAATGGCATATTTTCAGGTACTCAATGTTACAATGACTGTACTTTCAAAACAACAAGGATCCAACTGCCTCTTGCCACCTCCATCACTACAACTTGGCGCCTTGTCCAAGTTACACAAAGTGGATAATTTTAGTGTTCCACACATCTTTTTTKAATCTTTTTGCTAAGTGTTCGCATCCTAACCATCAGCACCTGATTATTGGTGGCTGCTGAAATCTGTCATTGGTTGCCTACAGAAGGAGCTAGACATGTCTGGGTACGAGTGCATCCTTATCACCATGGTCTACCAGAACCACTCCTTCCTCCAGTACTCCTTTGACTTCTCCTCTCACTACTGCCAGCTGTACTCGGGTCTCCCCGGTCTCCCTGCAGTTTGTGAATATGCTGGGCACACCCTCCCCACCAAGTGCCTTAGTGCTGGCTGTTCTTCTAACTGGAATGTTCCTCTCCCAAACATCAGCAGTGAGCTCTCTCATTTTTTCGGACAGTCTTCTCATAGTTTCTTTCRTTCTCTGAGAGGCTTCTCTGAGCACTCTGAAACTTCAATATTCTTGCTGCACTCTCTTGCCCATTTTGTGCTGTGTTCGCCATATAATTAWTCATCATCTTCTATAATCAAATCTTCCATAATGTGCTCACCTAGGAGAAAGTATGCTCCATGAGGACAAGAACATTTGTCCCTTGGTTTTATTTTTTTAATTAAATTATGACTGAGATTTAATGCATTATCTCTTAATTCATACTAATATACTTGGCATGTTTGTTGAATGAATAAATGTGGGAATTAATTAATTGAAAGCTTCTGCGATTGTCTCTGTTTATAGTGTTTCATGTTGGAGGGCTGACTTCAGGTCCATTGGAAAAAAGTAGATATCTGTCAAAATGAATGTCTCCTCCCATGATTTTGATACAGTTCTTATATGATTTAAATCATTGAAATCATACAGTGATTTTTCTGTACCACATTTATTAAAATGCTACCATTAGAGATTTCTCATGGTTTTAAATTAATAATCGTGCCCATGAGTTTGACACAGTTTAAAATGTACTGTTATATTTCTAGCTAAATATGAACCAGATTGTGTTCACATGAACAAGGTTAGACTGCCCCCTTGCTCYACACCCTGGTATCTGTTCACATCTGTGTTACATGGTCACCCAGGATCCTGGTAGGATCTGTCTTYGAAGGAGTTTAGGTGTGTGTCCTCAATCTAATTGTTCATTTTTAAAGCAGACCTTCCATTTCAACTCATCATGTATTGGCTGCTTAAGTTGTATTCTGTTGTGTTGTGCCAAGGTGAAACTGAGAGAAGTATCTCAAAGAATTTTGCCATCATAAGTGAATGACTTTTCCCCTTCTGTTGATTAAAATTTTAAGTGAATGTTTTCTATTTGTACCTGATGATATGTGGGTTTAGAATGTGTTAAAGACCATTCCCTTAAATTTTKTACAATAATAGCTAACACTTATCAAATGCTTATGCTATAAAAATCATCATACTAACTTCTTCATTCATTTTCGCKTAGCTCTCAGAACAATCCTGTAAAGYAGGTTCTATTATTTAGCCTCTTTGTRTTATTATCTGAGACATAATTTAGATTGCTGAAWTCATAGAGAGTTTTTTATGCTACTTTTTWAATTAAGATRTTYCMTTAGGGATTTCCCATGGCATTATRATTTCTTATAAATGTGWTTTCTAAAATTCTGACATAATGTTTTGACTAACATTCCATGCTACCAATGTACTTTGATTACTCCTTTATTGTTGTATATTTGAGGTGTTTCTTGTTTTTATTTCTCATATAGTAAAGTCTACCGAGTTGATGTCTTTGTGCATACATTTTAATCACTGTTTGTATCTAATCTTTATGGAGAATTCTTATGATGATTCCATGGCCTGCATCTTGAAGTTTTTTTTTTCTTTTTGTTTTTTTTCTTTTTCTTGGCATGCTCTTTGGCCATGACAGTTTTCTGATTRCTCTCAAACAATTCACTTATATGATTTAGTATCCATAAGCAAATCTGTTTCTCAGATAATGTTTTGTCTGGTCTTAAGATCAAAGCAAGAATACTTCCTTGAGTGATYACAGCATCATTAGCCATCAAGGAAATGCCAGTCTAAAGGAAAATTATAATTTTACCSTAGTTTGAATGAGTATTATAAAAAAGACAATAAAAACTTTGGTAAAATGTTGAAAAATAGGAACACTTATACATTGTTGGTGGGAATATATTAGTTTATCTATTATGARGCACAGTATGAAAGATTGCCAACAACCTAAAAATAGGTCTATCATAAGATTCAGCTAACTCAKGTTTGGATATATATTCAAAGGAAATGAAATCATTATGTTAACAGKATAATTTTTTCTTTGATAAGATCTATTTTAGAGAACTCTGTATAAAAAAGTTCTGGAACAACACATTCAAGAATCCTATAATTTTTTTTTTTCATTCTCTAAGATCAGACAACTAGTTCATCCAAAGGAACATCAGGTTAAATTTATACAAAAGTACAAGAAACTTAGGAATATGATATTGTGGTCAAGTAGAAAGCTGGTGATTTAACAATTAGCTATGTTAATAGAATTTTGTGAGTTGCCATTTATTTTACAGAGTATGAGCATTACATTCATAATGCTGCAATACTGTGCATTTTTTAATCAATCTGGTTTCGGGGAGTGAGATGTAAAGACTTAAAGAAACAAAATTCATAACTGCCCCGATGATTTTGACATAGTTTACAATTTACTTTTATATTTCTATTTAAATATGAATCAGATGAGTGTTTACTGGAACAGTTGTACTGCCTACTGACCGACATGGGAGTGATTATCTTGGTTAGAGGGTAAAAGGCCTCCAAATAACAGAGAATAAAGGAGAAATTCTAAACATGGGAAACTAAACTCCAGGCAGTCCTGATGGTCCATAGTTTAAGGTTAAAAGAGAAATATAAATGAGCTTCATGAATTAAGCAAAGACCTAATTAGTGAGTAAATTTGACATTTAACCCATTTATATAATGCATCAAAGGAGAAACTAGTAGTAGCAAGAACAGAACTGGTCTGTGATGGATGTAAAACTCAGGTAATTGAGCAGAAGCCTATACAAGTGCATCTCACTTTTGTGCTTATTCATCTTGGGTCGCACAGAACATTGCTCAATGAATATGTTAAAGAAATGGAATGGGTAATATATTTCTGTAATATAATGGGTCATTGGTTTAGCCCCAGGTGTAGGCAAACAACAAACAAACAAAAAACCCTCCTTCTTCTTAGCTCTTGGGGGACAGACAGAAGTTTCTAGAAACTTCTAAGAAATGTCATTCTAGAAGATGTCAAATATCTAAAATATCTAGGAGACTCCTAGGGAAGCAGTAATTATCCTGAACAGACAATCCCTTTCTAAAGTCTCTACAGCTTGTARCCTCAGCAAGATGGGTAGTTTAGTTCACTGAGAACAAATCCATCTCTCGGGRATTAACTGTCTTCAACAACTTCAGGTTGATCATGTTTAAAAGATAATGCCAACTGACGATAATAAAATAAATATAATAAATAAATAAACAAACAATAATAAAAAGTTAACATTATTTCTGGAACTGAAGCATTTGTATTTACTTGACTTTTGAATTATGCCTATAGTTAACCTACATGGACATCCAAATTAAAATCAAATTATATTATTGATTTACAGAGGCAAATTACTGTCACAGGGAAATGKAAATACTCAAGTTTATTTTTATCAGCCTGTCATCTCTATTTGATATGGGAAATGAAATAATAATCAGAGAGCAATTTATTAATTTATCCTGGGAAATCACGATCCAGAGCAGCTAAAGGGCGTAATTTCAATGCAGCTAGGTTGGTGTTTTCCTGTAAGGAATGCTGAGACACACTATCAGAAAGTTGTGTTCAGGGCAGAGAATCAGAACCCAGGAAGTAACCTGAACTGAATGTGCAATGCGATCAAGCTGAGACAACTTAATACAACTGTTACACAGTGTATTTAATCATCCTAATCTGACAGAAGAACTTGAAGCCTCACAGTAATGTCAGCTGAGCCCTGACTGGCATTTGAGCTCCTCACTATAATTCCAGCATCACCAAAACCTCACTTAAGAGTCCTTTGGTCAGGGACTATTTTGATCTTGCTAGGATAATTGTTTGCACTGTATGCTTAGGAAAGTTGTCAAAACTTTCCTTACTGACTACAATTTTTGTTTGCATAAAGCTCTAGCCTTAAGCTCATCAAGAGAGAGAGAGAGAGAGAGAGAGAGAGAGAGAGAGAGAGGGAGAGAGAAAGAGAGAAAAAAATCTGTTCTAATGGTGATGACTTATGTTGTCAAATGACTAGTCAAGTTATCCTTTCTGGAAGTAATTATATAGCTCATAATATTGGCTGTTACAATACATATGAGAAGGACCATTATTACTTTAAGGGTGAAGGAAAAGCAGTGATAGTAAAATTAATGCATTTTGTTATTTTAAGAAATCCTTTAGCTTCTCAACTCCCTAGTAATTTCAGTGTACCACAAATGTAAAGTGGCAGCATATGAGATCATCTAACTTGGTTTTTATTAACTTCATGTGCCTTCAATGGGTGTCCACGTAGCTCTTGAGATTATATTCAAGTGTTATGAGCATATTTTTTTCTGAGAATTACCATAATTTTCATTGATTCAACTTTTAGAACTTACAACAATGGCTAAAGCATCATTACTTTACTGTTCTGAATGTAATATTTATTTAATCAGTAATAACTCAATCCATGATAYCCCAGGTATGTGAGCTATGCTTTCCAGTGTCTGCCAGGGTCATCAGTTTTAAACTCACAGAACAGGTAAAACAAAAGTGTTCAAAGACTTAAAAGATGAAAGAGAAAGAAAACAAGTAAACAAAAGTCCTATAAAAAAGTGTTAGTGACAAGTATTATGTAGTTCAAATTTCAGGTGTATATTGATAGACCTGCAATTGGAAGCAACACTAAAAAAGCTATGGCCAACCAGAAGTAGAGCTTGAACTAACACAGCTTGAAATGATTGGAAGGGAAATATTAGAAATAATCAAGTTTAAAGAAACATAGCATGTTAGATAATTTAAACACAACTATGAGTTTTGGAGAGKTTATATACAGAAAGCTATAGTTTTCTTTGACAGGAAAAAAGTCAATGTTATAGAAAAACAGAAATATTTTTAACAATAGGTCTTTATAATAATTTTCATAGTCCCAAAGAGCAAGTACATTGTATGTTATGGAAAATTCTCAGTAATTTACAAAAATACAAACTGTACTTATATTATCAACCTATGATGTTATAAAACTAAACAAATCCAGAGCTTGAATGTTATTTAACATTAACAAGTGGAAGTATGCAAAGAGACACCATGTAGCTCAAAAGTCAGGTGGCAGACAAAGGCAATTACATAGTATAGAGAAAGATGAAATTATAAAAAATAAAGAAAACACTAAAAT